GTAATGGATTACTTGGTATATGAATTTTTTCTATTCCCATTAAATACAGGATCTTTTGAAGTTCGCAAAGTATATCCTTCGCAAATTCTTTGAGGCTCGAAAAATGAATGAAGCAGTTGTCGTAGAAGCCATGTTTTTCCGAGGTATTAAGGAAAGTGCTGAACTTACCCATGGCTACGGCACGTTCGAGGAAAAGTAAGTCATTAAGTATCCTTCGTATTAACTATCCTTTCATTCATTTGTTTGAATCCATTAGTTCTTTTTGGCTGATTTTCTATATTCAAATTTTGTTCAGCGATTCGAAATGAATCATCAATTCATTGATTAAAGACTAGTCACGTTCATTACAAATCTCCCCACCTTTTCAGCCTTAGCTTTTTTTTATTATGCTATTCTAAATTGGGCTTTTCAAATCCTTTTTGATATGATTAGGCCGCCTTTGTCTGGTTAAGCCATTGTATCCAACTGAAGTGAAGAGTCAGACACATTTCTATATACTAAATTCATGTAATCACTTCTTTGATGTATGTACTCTGGCCTAATCCAAGTGAGCTTATAAACGCTATTTTCTCACTTATAATCCATTTTAAATATCTTTTAAGAATTTGAACTTATTCGGTATGAGAACGTCATGGTTACTCTTTAAGGGCTAGCATGCCTATTATATCGCTTAGGTCTAGATGAATCAAGCAAGCACCATCTGTCGGTATTTCCAGGATATCTTTAAACTAGATTAACAATTTCTTGCATAATTTAGCCACTATCAAAGGCGAAACAAAACCTGGTATTTTTAAAGATTGTTTTGCTTTATCTTTTTATCTAGAGAAAAAAAATCTTCTTGGACCGCTGAATTGGACAAGGAATTGATCCAACTTTTTAATGCTTATCGATTTGATCCAGTTCCTAAAGGTAGGCTCTTTCCCTTCACAAACCCTTTATTTATTTTTATTTCGCCTAGTTGGAAATTATACATAGTTTAATTCATGACATTAAATAAGCTTGATAATTAAGCTCCTCAACTTTTATGATAACCTTTAGTGATATTTTCTATACTCAGGTCGCGATCTTGCTGATGTAATTACTGCGATGCTTTCTGATTCCGGCAAAACTCGTCGTCAAGTTATTGGTCGCCTTATTCATCTCAACACGATTGACTCAGCAAAGCAGATCCGCTATATGACGTAAGTCAATATTAACTTATCTTATTACATTATTCCAATACGGAATTTCATATCTATTAGCAAATATAAGTGTGCTTTGTAGTTGAGTTACCTGCGCCACTAAGCCTAACACTTAATCTTTCTTTAGTTTTGACTTTTTAAATATATATTCGCTTGCAGGAAAATCATGCTAGTTTGGTAATTGTATATATATTTTTTGTGAGCCTGGTCCCCTTTATGGTCACAATCCCAGTCCATAAGCTGATTTTAAAGAAGTTTTCTACTTGTAACCTTAAAATATGAATTAATTAGAATACATAGAATCATATCAAAGCACAGTAAATTAAAGAAAATCCTAAAAGATAATAAAGACAACTTCAAGTAGTTGTCTCAACAGAGACAGGATCCTCTATATCTTACGTTTCTGTTAAGATTATACTGAATAGTATGGATATGCTTGCCTATTGTCCCATTCAGTAACCACTTTTGAGTAAAAAAATGTCAAGCTCCGATTTAAATTGGCCCAGAAGTGGTTATTTATGGAAATAGAGAGAATAAAGACCATTATATTCAGTGATGAGTCGAAATTTAACTTGTTTTACTCCGATGGCAAGTCCTTTGTGTAGAGAGAGCCTGGAACAGGACTACTGTTTCAACATATTGACAAAACTGTCAAATATGGAGGTGGAAGTGTAATGGTGTGAGGATGTTTTTCATATTATGGAGTTGGTAAGTGGGTTTTTATAGAGGATAAAATGGATGCTATTCGATATGTGCGCATTCTTTCCAATAACCTCTTTAAATTTGCTGCATCCAGCAAGACAACGACCCAAAACACACATCAAAGCTGGCATCAGAGTTTTTGAAAGAAAGAAATGTGGAATTATTGCCTTGGCCTGCTAAATCACCAGAAATGAACCCAATTGAGAACTTATGGGGGATTAAAAAGTCTAAAATAGGCATATTAAAGCTTAAAAATATCAACGAACTTAAAGATGCAATTAAGACGTCTTGTGCAGAAATAACCACGGATATGACAATGAGATT